GTACATATACACAATGGAATATTATGCAGCCATAAAGAAGGACAAACATATGGACTTTGCAGCAACTTGGATGGGTTTAGAGTCTATCATACTCAGTGATCTATCATAGAAACAAAGAACAGAGTACCATATGTTCTCACTCATAGCGGACCTTGAGCAATTATCATAATACTATATGAAAGGGATTGGCAATACTGGGAAACTGTTAGGGGAGGGGGCATGGAATTGGCAGTTGAGGGAAACTGCCAGGGTGGGGGGGTATACCTCATCAACAAGGGTACCTGTATAATGAACATTTGTATACCTAACCCTGAATTGTACCCCACATCTTTAAAATAAAAATTTTAAAGTAAAAACAAAAAGTAGAAAGGAAAAGGAAGACAGAAATTAAAATACACAGTTTAGAATTTTGAAATTGGAATCTTACTGTGTTTATAATGCAATAATATAATATACTTCAATATTAGTACCCATAACTCAAATTATTATAAATATCTTCAAAATTACTCTCAATTGATAGGTGTATATCTTTGCTACCATATAAATACACACATTTGCACATGAATATATATCCACATGTGCACACATACATTGCAACAAATGTATTTATAACAATATTTTATATAAATATATTTGGTTTAGAAAATTTAAAAAATAATAAAATAAAATGCTCGTTATAGTTGAAAAATAAAAGTGAGTGTCTTTCAACAGCAGTTACAATCGGGAATTCTCAGAACCAGAAATAGTTAGAATGCTCAGGTAACATTTATTTAAATTGTTTAAAGTCTACAATCGAACTTCCAAAATCCCTAACCTAATTTTTTTAGATCTGTGGCATGTGTTAATATGCATGATTACTTTTTCATAATTTCTAAAAAGAAAATACTTCCTATGTAGTAACAATGCCTTTTTATATAAGCATAGACTCCCTGCCACATAGAAACAAGAATAACAGCAAAGAGCTAAATACTACATCAATTTGACTTGGCCTTTATCCTAAAGATCTGTATTGGGTCATAAGCAGAAGCTACAAATTTATAATCTCAGTTTAGTTTGCAGAATAATAAAAAATTAAGCAATAAGGTCAATCATCAGGACTCTTACTGTTACTACCAACTTTTCTATTACTGTAAGTCAGCAGTCCCCAACCTTTTGGCATCAGGGATTGGTTTCGTGGAAGACAATTTTTCCACAGACCAGGGAGAGGGAGGTTTGGGTGTGCAGTCAAACCTCACTGCTAATGTTAATCCATATTTGCAGTCACTCCCCAGCAATAGTATTACCACCTCAGTTCCACCTCAGATCATCAGGCATTAGATTCTCATAAGGAGTGTAAAACCTAGATCCCTTGTGTGTGCAGTTCACAATAGGGGGCATGCTCCTATAAGAACCTAATGTTGCTGCTGATCGGATAGGATGGAGCTTCACTAGCTTCCTGCTGTGCAGCCCGGTTCTTAGTAGGTCACAGACAAGTACCAGTCTGTGGCCCAGGGACTGGAGATCCCTGCTATAAGTCATAAGTCTGCAATGTCGTTCAAAAGATCGATTTTCTTTAGCAAACTAAAAACAGATCATAAAAAATACTTCCAGTTGGGCTCAGAGGTTCAGCCTGCAACCCCAGTACTTCGGGAGGCTGAGGAGTCGATTGCTTGAACCTGCAGGTTTGAGACCAGCCGGGCAACTTGGCATCATCTCTACAGTAAATTTTTTTAAAAACCAGGCGTGGTAGCACATGTCTGTAGTTCTGGCTACTTGGAAGGAGGTTGAGGCTGAAGGATCGCGAGAAGCCCAGCAGATCAACGCTGGCATGGCCATGAGCATGTTACTGCACTCCAGCCTGGGAGACTCTAACTCAAAAAATTAGAAAATTATTATTAAAAACGGTAAAGAGGTGGGGGATGGTGGCTCAAGCCTGTAATCCCAACACTTTGGGAGGCCGAGGCGAGAGGAATGTCTGAGCCCAGGAGTTCAAGACCAGCCTTGGTAACTTGGCAAGACCATATCTCTGCAATAAATAAAAAATTAGCCAGGTGTGGTAGTGCATGACTGTAGTTCCAGCTACTTGGAAGGCTGAGACGGAAGGACTGCCTGAGCCCAGTAGGTTGAGGCTGCGGTGGTCTCGTGCCACTGCACTCCAGCCTGGGCAACAGAGTGAGACTTCAATCAAACCAAAAAAAAAAAGGGTAAAGAACGTAAAATGAAAGCATTACATGTCGAGAAACTTAAAACATTAATATTCAGTGATCTCAAGTAATGTAACATGATCTCTAAAATTGTGCAGTGATCACTTTTGATATACAAGAGGGTACCTCAAAAAACCCAGAATTATTTTTTGAAGGGCAGGCCCCTTGTAGTACTGGCTTCCCCCATTAGGTAAGTGTTCTAAGAACCCATCGGCATCAGAGTACCAGTACGAGCTAGTGTGTTGTTGTGAGAGGCTGTGTTCAGTTTCAGTGAATTTTTTTTTTTTGGGGGGGGGAGATTCTTTCAGCATATTTGCTCAGCTCTTGGTGAGTGATCTATGAACATTTCCACCTACACCACGCTAAGTGTTCAGCCATTTTGGACCAAAAACAGCATGACCCCTATGCCCCACCCTTCCTATTCAGTGGATCTATTCACTGGATCTCGCCCAAAGGGACTTTTTTTGTTTCCCCAGATGAAAAAGTCCTCAAAGGGAAATGTTTTGTGGAAGGTGAAACAAAAAACGGCAGAAGCACTAAAAGGCACCAAAGTTGATGAGTTCAAAAACTGTTCTGAGCAGGGGAAAAAGCATTTCAATAGGTGTACTGCATCAGAGAATACCTTGAAGGTGACTGATGTTTAAACATGTAAGAACAAACACACAATTTTTTATAAATAAATTTTGGGGTTTTTTAGGTCCCCCCTCATAACTTTACACAAATCAATATAATTATAACAAATTTAATATGTATTTGTAATGGTTTATATTCCAAACAGAAATCTCCCACTGAAAGAGCCTGAAAAAGTGAAAACTTACTAGAGTTTTATGATATCTAATTTTTTAAACATATTTTAATTACAATAGAGTGAATTAAATAATCTCTAAGCCCTTTGTACAATTTTTTTAAATCTATGAATCAAAAATATTAAGGGATTTGCGGGAGGAAGGTGACTTGAGCCCAGGAGTTTAAGACTGGAGGGCAGCCAGGCTCGCTGGCTCAGCCTGTAATCCCGCACCTTTGGGAGGCTGAGGTGAGTGGATTGCCTAAGCCCACGGGGTCGAGACCCACCTGGGCAACTTGGTGAGACCTCATCTCTACAATAAATCAAAAATTAGCTGGGCGTGGTAGCATACGCCTTTAGTTCCAGCTACTTGGAAGCCTGAGGCAGAAGGATCGCCGGAGCCCAGCAGGTCGAGGCTGCAGTGGCCGGTAGCAGTCACTGCACTCCAGTTTGGGCGACAGAGTGAGACTCCAACTCAAAAAAACAAACAAATAAAAAAAAAAAAGAATGAGCGCCTTTGGGAGGCTGAGGTGAGTGGATTGCCTGAGCCCACGGGTTCGAGAACCGCCTGGGCAGCGAGACCTCATCTCTACAATAAATCAAAAAATCAGCCGGGCGTGGTAGCGCATGCCTGTAATTCCGGCTACTTGGAAGGCTGAGGCGGAAGGATCGCCGGAGCCCAGCAGGTCGAGGCTGCGGTGGCCGGAAGTGGCCACTGCACTCCAGTCTGGGCGACAGAGTGAGACTCCAACTCAAAAAAAAAAAAAAAAAAAAAGACTGGAGGGCAGTATGACTGCACCTGTGGATACATTGCAATCTAGCCTGGGCAACATGTTGAGATCAGTCCCTTAAAAAAAAAAAGCATATATTTTTACACAAAAAATAGAAGATATGCCATAGATACTATTAGCTATTAATTTCTACTTTTTAAAGAAATAATGAAATTCAAAGTAAATTACATTTTTTGTTTTACATTATTACAAATTAGAAAATAGAAGTATTTAATAAGATATAAAATATTCCATAATGACTATCAAACCTTAAAAAAATCTTCAAGCTGTTTACTGTTGTAAAGAGCTGGAATATTGGCAGAGAACTGTAGCAGATCTTCAGCACACTGTCTTCTCTCTTCAATAACAGTTTCATCAAATCGACCTAGAATTAAGTATGGAAAGAGTGATCAAACAGCGGTTATGATAGTTTATGTTCTAGATTAGAAAGCAGCAGCAGGCCACCACTGCCCATCTGCTGAGCTTCTTATGCAAACTTCTGAAGTCAAATCTAGTCTCTACAATTAGAATCAGCAGTAGTCTCAATAGAAAATGTTTCTGATAAAACCAGAGGCAAAGGTGTCAACTGATAAAAAACGCATTCATAATTTAGGACCTGTCAATATAAGAAACTTACCATTTAAGAAGCTGGTGATTTGAAACTAAAGTTGAAAAGAGAATTTTAAAGAGCTAAATGGTTTTCTATAGTAATTTAATACTATAATTAGTCATATAATTTTCCCTTTTCTACTTTTTGATTTATAAAGGGGCTGAGGAGAGGAAATTATGAGAACATCTGTATTATCAGCTGGGTTAAAACCTCAGCTTGAAGCAAAGTTTTTATGTTAAATTCTATGTGTGATGCTGTCAGCATATGTGACAGCATGCTTGTGAGAAAAAAAGAGCATACAGCATCCATGAATTCTGCTTTATAAGGTGATCGAAAGGTGGTTTTCATAGGTTTTCCTGATATATACAATTTGAATGCTGATAAGACATTTTCAGATATGATAATTTTGTACTATTCTCAGGTTAGATTACCAGTTGACATTTGTCACATACCATGTATCTTACTGATTGCAATATAGGTTTAAAAAATACAAAATCAAAAAAGTAGCATCATCACATACTTAAAAAGTTTTTAAGTGGCTTGGCAGAGTATTAACAAAAAACTGAAGCACAGAGATTCCTAGTTATATAATACAAGGCAAGAATTTGAAACTGAACCACTAAAATACCCTCCACTCAATGTGGTTCATGCTTATAGAAAAGTATCTATTTCACGATAACTAAAAAAAGGACCAGGATTCAAATACTATCATTTGCTAGCTATAAAATCTTAAAAAGATTATTTTTGTAAAATGTAGGAAATGAATAATGTACTTAAGGCCAGTTCCATTCCAGGCACATAGTTAGCACTTAATAGATTATCATGGTGTCTTTGAATCTTCAAGTGTTGTCATCATCACTAGCATACAGAGCATGCTAGCAAACTTTTAATAGACTGTGTGAGTGAATAATGAAAACTTTAAAAATACTATCTAAAAAAAAAAGAACTGTCTTACAAAAAAAGATTGTAACAGGACATGTTAACGGTGGGACCATACACCACCAGTTAGGTAACTGTTCATGGACAGGATCAAAAGAAACAATCCTACAAAATTCCATGTAGATAGACGTAAGTCCATTTTTCTAAGGAAAAGGTCTTCACTTTTTATCCATTCTCAAAGATCCCAGGGCCCAGTGAAGGTTAGCATGCAAGTAGCAGACAATTGGAGGATTCCTCACATCCAGTATACTGCTTTACTTATTACGGAACAGGATGTCAGTTACTATACAAATATCTGTTCTTTCTTCCCTAATTTTTAATTGGGTATATGGCAGCCCACAAAAAAAAAGAGACTATAATAGGGCAACCCCCTCAGATTCCCTCCCACTGTGGGAGCTTTTCTGTCCTCTCAATAAATCCTGCTTTCTCACTTTCAGGCCGTTTGGGTCCCTCATTCCTCCTGGGCATGAGACAAGAACCCTGACATGAAGAACTGCAGAAGATCATCAGAATCGAAGGAAAAAAAAAAAAAGACCATCATTGTCAGCTTGCCTTATAGTTAGGTGTGGACATAAACTAAGCTCTGACAAATAACACATAAACAAAAATTATATTGTAGCTTCCCAGAAAGCTCTTTAAAAGACCACTGATACACACTCTCTGCCTCTTTTTCTTTACTCCTTCCCCCTTCCAGGAAGGACCATGGAGTAGAAGATTAAAAATGACAGAAGTCAGGCACAGTGGCACATGCCTACAGTATGAGCTACTCAGGAGGGTGAAGCAGAAGGATCACTTGAGCCCTGGAGTTCAAGGCCAGCCCAGAAAACATAGTGAGACCCCATCTCTAAAAGAAAAAAAAAAAGATGACAGAATCAAGGCAGGACATTGTACAGCTGCCATGCCAAAGGCTACCTCCAGACCTTTTGCCATGAGAAAGAAACTGATTTCTATATTGTTTTAAGTTTTGTTACAAATAGCCAAACCCAATATAATCAATTATGCTACAACAGTTTTTCTATTATTCTCAGTTCAATTAAGTTAACTCAATTCTCTCAATAACAACAATACCACATCTAAAATGACACTACTAGCTAGCAAACTTCCAAGAATCCCAACAAGTAAGCAAATTCTCTGGCCTGAAAGCAATCTAAATTATTTAATCTTGGGGAAAAAAATCCACCAGCCAAATGGATTAAATGCTCATTATTTCTTCTTTTGCCTAAACAAGAAAGTATAAATCTGTGTTTAGTATTATAATACAACATATTGACCTTATAAAAAAAATTAATTCCTTTGTCTGGGAATTAATATTGGTAATTTTGTAAATATCTAAAATCTTATAACAGGAGCCCAGAAAATGCACACATTATTTTATGCGTCAACCCACAAGACCACCTGAGAACATCTTTAAACAGAAGACTTCTTAATATTTAATCCTTTGCACTTGGAGACATCTCACGGATCACCCAGCAGCAGCTCCACTGCACTTTTTTATGAAATACTATATTTCATATTAAATAGTATAGTGTTGGAACCAATTATTTTATTGTAATGATATTTGGCTTATAATGGAATTTTGGATATTGAGGAACTTATTTACAACCAAATATATCAAGATTTTATATCTCATATTTTCTAATGTACAGTAATGTGTGAAACAGTCACCAACATGCATTGCAGGATCACTGGTACATGTTGTGCAATAGTAACTTGTTTGATATCTTCCACCTGGTGTTTTTCTATTCAAGTAAATAATGAACATTTTCTTCCTCCTAAATTAATAATATATAATTTATTGTCCAGTGTGTACACCACTGTGAAAAAACTTCACACATTCTCTTTCTATGGAACACTAGCTGATATTTTTTTACATACTTCTCAGTATAAATTCCATCTCTTTATTTGCTTTTTCATGCAATTTGAATGGAAAACTTGAAAAAAGCATTCATTTTTTAAAAATTTGCACTGGCATACGTTTGCCCTGTATAATCACCGGCAATCTCTTTATGTCCCCTGAGAGGGAACGTGTAAGTGGTTTGCTAGATTTCCAATGTCCCCTCAGAGGGGACATCCAAGCACAAAGGTAAGTGAAACCTTTAAAAAACCTTATTTCTATAAGAAACAAACATTAAAAATTATGGGGCATTAATCCTTCCCTTTAGCTAGACTAAAATGCTAAAGCAATGGAATAAATGTCAAAACATGACTTGTACTTCTATTGCCCTATACAGTTCTATTCCACTAAACTTGGACAAGCAGACATAAACTAAGACATTTTTTTACTGAAGTGTAACCAAAAATAAAGGCTTATGCATTAAAAGTTTCAATTACATTGAATCCTATCATCAGAACAAATACAAGAAATAAAAATACACGCTTGTTTCTTTGTCCCTAAAATACTTTGGAATAACAACAACAAAAACTGTATTGGTAGTATAAATAAAAAATGCAGATAAATTTTCATGAAATGACTATTGGCCCTAATTCATATAATGAAGACCACCTAATTTTAATAAATTTTTTTTAAAGTAACAAGATTCAAGAATCATCCTAATGGTAGACAACACCCTTGTAGCTATTCTCTAGTTTATCCTTTAATACAATCAAAATTTCACTTGAAAGGCTGTAACAACATGAAAAATTATAAACAGGTGCTTCTATTGCAATTTTGCATTTCCACTCACAGTGCCAATGTTTATTTTCCTGTGAAGAGAGTAGAAAAATTATAGGTAAAGATAGAAAATGCAAAACAAATTTTTCCTAAGGTTTACTGTGCAATATTATATATAGGTGTACCTCATTTTACTGAACTTCGATTTATTGTTCTTCACAGATACTCATTTTGTAGAAATAGAAGGTTTGTGGCAACCACCAAGCAAGTCTATTAGCAACATTTTCCAACAGTGTGTGCTCACTTCATGTTTCTGTGTCACAATTTGTTAATTCTCACAATAATTCAAATGTTTAATTATTATTATATCTTTCTTGGTGACCTGCGATCAGTAATCTTCTTGGGATGAGTGTTGTAACACCACAAACCACAGCCATACAAGACAGCAAACTTAATCAATAAATATGTGTGCTGTGGCCAGGTCTGGTGGCTCAGCCTGTAATCCCAGTATTTTGGGAGGCCAAGGCCAGTGGATTACCTAAGCCAGTGGAGACCAGCCTGGGCAACTTGGCAAGACCTCATCTCTACAATGAATCAAAAATTAGCCGGGTATGGTAGCGTGCGTCTGTATTTCCAGCTACTGGAAGGCTGAGGCGGAAGGATCATGGGAGCCCAGCAGGCCAACACTGGGGTGGCCATGAGTGTGCGTGCCACTGCACTCTAGCCTGGGCATCAGAATGAGACTCCAACTCAAAAAAAAAAAAAAAATGTGTGTTGTGACGACTCCACCAACCAGTCATTTGCTCTGTCTCTTTCCCTCTCCTCAGACCTCCCTGTTCTTTGAGACACAATGATATTGAAAGTAGGCCAATTAATAACCCTACAATGGTCTCTAAGCATTTAAGTGAAAGGAAGAGTTGCACATTCCTCACTTGTCAAAAGCTAGAAATAGGTAAGGAAATTAGTGAGGAAGCATGACAAAATCCTAAAGATAGGCTGAAAGGCCTCTAACACAAATTTGACAAGTGGTAAACACAAAGGAAAAGTTCCTGAAAGAAACAAAAAGTGCTACTCTAGTGTACACATGAAACATAAGAAAATAAAACAGCCTTATTTGCTGATATGGAGCAAATTTGAGTGATCTGGATAGAAGATCAAACCATCCACAACATTTTTAAACCAAAGCCTAATCCAGAGCAAAGCTCTCTCTCTTCAGTTCTATAAA